ACTTTTTCTACACCTTAGCTTCATGAGTAAACACCACATTTAGAAGTCCAGTGATCTCATGTTTTCAACAAAATCTTCAATCCAAGGGAACTTCAAAGAATCTAAAAGCAGAAATGCGTCTGAATGTTGAAGAAAACACCTTAACTACATTAATAATTTTGGAACATAAAATTCACATAAAGATGAAACTACACATTATAAACTCCTTTTTTAACAGAACCCAGTGAATTCAAATTCAAACATTTCTTGCTTTATCTATGTTATTATTATCATTCAAGTCATAAGAAGAGAACTCATACAATCGTTGTAGTTGTAGTTGCAACAAACCCGCTTACTCCTATCACAGGGGCGTTGGTGCCCAATGCATGTGCTAAGGCACCTAAACCGGAGGCGACAACTAGAGCAGCTAACCCTATTACTTACAAAATATGAGTTCATCAGGAAAAAACACTCATGTCATTAGAAGCATGTTGGTCAATAAATAAACAAAATTCTCTATTAATTTCTAAAATAGAAACTTACAGAATGGTTGATCAATCGTCCTATATTTCCTTTATTTGTAGCATCAATTACTACTTCCTCGCCGACGTTGAATAGCTGCAAAAACATTTCATCATAATTAACATACCGAAACACACTTGACAAGTGCAATCAAGAAGAATAAATATTGTAATAAGAGGTGTTCTGAACATGCTTGATTAAAAACTAGCTTGGTTTAATCGAAATGCTAGTAATGTAAAATCGGAATAATAAAAATAAAGAGTCTCACTCAGATAACAAAGATTTCATAAATGAATTCAGTTAAGTTTTGAAATCTTCAAAGAGTAGATTGACAATTTGGCAAGTCACAATTTATGATCTTCCTTCCAAAAATTTAACTACATTGAACAAGTAACAAACTCAAGTTCGAGTAAATTTTGTCAACAAGAAACTAAAAAATAAACTCAACCAAGTGAATTTCTAATTTTTTTTGTCATTTCTTGTGCTTGGAACCCCCAATGTTCTTCAGAGCCCATCAACTGGGCTAGGAAAAAAAAACAAGAGTTGGATTAGAAAAAAATAATTATTGTTATAATTTACTCAGAAATGTTTTTCGTTGCCTCTGAAATTTTCCAAGCAGAAGATCGAACCTCAACAGTTTTCTTTTTCTAGTCATCGAACCTCAAAGCAGAAGATCCAGCATACCTTAATAATAGGCTCACCAACTTCACTATAACCAATAAGACGCTAGATGTGCCAGCCCTGCACAGCACCCCTTTGTGCCCTACCTAACTCGAGAACTTGGTGATAGTTGCCTACACAGGTAATTTAAAAGTTCAACCATTGAGCTAATTTCAGGAAAAATTGTCTTTTTTGGGTGAATAAGTCATAAATTAAGACAATGAAATATACAACATATGCAAGGGGTATACCCCAGGCCCTAATGACAGCAAGACAAAGAATAAAACGATGCTAAAAAAAATAAAAAATGTAAACCCTAGAACATGACCAGATCAAACCCCATACAGACGAAGAGAGGCCGCCAAACAAGGAAATATAGACAGCAAACAAAAACAAAAATAAACAACATAGGAGGAGCATCCAAAAAGCTCCAATAAACAACCAACTGTACAAGACAAAAATAAACAACATTCCAACTGTAGAAGAATTTTCCAATAGAGAAGGCAGTAATACCAGTAATTCTAGCAGCAGCCAACAGCAACCAGATGCACCAACTACAGCAGCATCATCTAACTACACAGCTTCCGCAGGATTTGCAGATCCAACCAATCAAACAGCAGTATTAGGTACAACAGTAACAGATCGCTCACAGCAACAATCCCAGATTTCAAGCCATAGCACAGTTGCATCATGGCCTACAGTATAACTCAGCTGAAGGTGCATAGAGCCCTAATAAAATAGTAGTAACAGTAGGTATACTAGAACCAACCACTGCACAGCTTTAGCGAACCCAAGCAGCAAATACACCAACTCAAACATAGGATTACATATGTTCAACCACCATATAACAGAGGTGTGTGTGCTGATTGTCGACCACACTGCCAAACAGATACCTAGCTGGAGAGCACAGGCAGAATAGATTACGCCCGAACAACTTATCACAGAAAGAAAAGACTTCGGCAGTGGTTCATTCACCCAAGGGTACTCCGACGATCAAGTTAGTACTTAGTTATCTCTAAAAAATAGCAAATAGTGCTCTACTCACTAGCTAGTATACAAAAAGTATACCTAAGACCTATGATGGTGCCTTACTTTTATAACCAGTACTAACCTGATCCCTGTAGAAGCCTAGCTTCAATGAATTCTGGCTCAATGCTTATCTAGGACTCTCAACTAGATAGAGATAAACTCCCCAAGAGCTTTATCTTTATCTTGACTGAGTTTCTCTCCCATTCTAGGACTCTTGTCCCTTATCCGCTCACCTTGGATTCCAGTATCTCCGCAGATAACCTCAGCCTAGTTGAGATCATCTTAACACACGACCAAGCCACGTGGTACTCTGGCTGACACGTCGGCGTCACCTTGGCCATGTCTGTCATTCACAAAATATGTCCCCACAAGAGGCTATGGAGGTGTTGAACACATGAGAGACCCATTTTAAATAGTATGACAGCCACCAATTAGGACCAAAAGGAAAGAACAAAACAAGTTGAGAACAAACGCACAGTATAGTCCTTAGCCACTCAACCCACACTCTTAAATCACACATAAAACACTCAAGAAAATATATGATCAACCCAGCTTTATAAAAAGATGTGCAAAGAAATAGATAGGTGATCTGATCCAAAAAAGATAAAAAGATAAAAAAAATATGCTAATATAAGAGATGCCAAACAATCCCTAAGTTTAATTCGAATATGAGAAAAATTCATTTCCTTACTTTATGGATGATTAATGTAATTAACTTTAATCTTTGTAACTTTTCCGTTGGTATAGCATGGGAGAGAAAATGTAAGAGAATCAAAAAATAAATAAAGGGAACAATTGCCTCCATAACATTTAAAGAATGTTACAACATTTATATAGCCAAAAGACTCATCTCATTATTTGATTATAAATCCACCAATCTAAATACAACAAAGTACTCAAAAAGAAGAAAAACAAACCCTCACGTACAACCTCAACCCTGGAGGAAAACAAATCTCCACGCAAGGAAAAAGAGAATGTTGTTACACTACTGTTTGCGAAACAATTGAAGCAATTACATGCATGTTTCCACAAGTCCGGATCCTCTACCATTGTTTCCTGCTGTGATTCATGATATAGTACAAAAACGACGTCATAACCCACCCAACGGCAAAAACAAAGAATAGAGAGGCAAAACGAAGAGGAGCCATGAACACCAACAGAGAAAAGCTTGTGGTAAAAGTAGTGGCAACCCACAACTTGATGCCCAAAGACGGTGAATGCTTGTCTTCTCCGTTTGTTAGAGGTAGAGTTTGAGAACCAGAAACAGAGAACCCAAGTGCAAAGATCTCAACCCAATTTGGAAAGAAAAGGTTGTCTTCGCTTACAGAAAACCATAGAACTCAATGTCTACAACGAGTGGAGGTCTACCAATCGAAATTTTTTGGGTAAAGTTTAGCGATAAGTGAGAAAAGAAAAAAGGGGGAAAGGAAAAAGCAAAGGGGAACAAAATTAACAAAACGAAGTCGTTTTGGTACCATGATAAGCATCATTGCAGAAAACAATGGCAGAGAATCTGGACTCTGTTTCACATATGGGTGACAAAAAAAAACTTAGGAGAACACAATTTTTTTTTTTGTCCATTTATTTCAGAAACCACAAATAAAAAAATAAAAATAGTAAAAGTAAAACAAAAACTAAACAACAAAAATGTTCCAGATCACGAAAAATATTTTACAAAAATCATCTTAAAATTGAGTTCAGATTGTCTGCTGTCCCTTCCTGCGGCATTCCAAAACAACGTTGTTTTGGAAATTTTTTTTTCCCCTTTTTATTTTGCTTTTTAGATAGCTCAAACTCTCTCAAAAGTCCAATTATAAACATGTAGAAGATGAATGAATTTCTTACCTGTTGAACTTAAAGAATTCAAGTTCGAATAAAAAAATTGTAATCCAAGTAGATCTCGAACGTGAACAGAAAATTCAAACTGATCACTTACTCAAAATTGATTTTAGCATTCAAAAACACACATGAAGTGAGTAAATTCATAGTAGGGATTTTTATAATCAGTTTCATTATCATCATCAATAATAACTTTAAAAAAAAGCAAAGAAAGAGAGAGAAACTCAGATCTGGAGACCCGAATTCTCCTGTCGCCACCGGAGCTCACCATTGTTCGTCGACACGATCTCAGATCTGGAGACGTGGCGGTGAGGTCGGACCCTTCAATGATCATCGGTTGGTTATAGAGAGAGAGAGAGAGAGAGAGAGAGAGAGAGAAAGAGAGAGAGAGACAAGCGAGCTTCTCAATCGGCATCAACGGAAAGAGAAGATAAGAGTTTGACGGTGAAGGAGTCACCGTACTCCAACGAGTAGCATCGGTAAATGATGCCGAAACCTTAGCAGTAGTGTCGGCGAAACTGAGTTTTGAAAGAGATTTGCGTCGTTGTACGGCCATGATGGTGTTGTAGGTGAATACAGTGGTTGGAAAAGACGAACTGGTCGGCGATGATAGAGGCGTAGTAGGGGTTGCTGGCGTGGATGAAGGACTGGACACAGTGGAAATTGGACTTTTGAGAGAGATTCAGCTATCTGAAAAACAAAGCAAGAAGGGTAAAAAAAGAAAAAATCAAAATGACGTCGTTTTAGAACGCCGCAGGAAGGGGTGACAGACAATCTAGACTCCTTAAAATTATGACTCTCAAAGTTAAGACTGGTCAACTAGCCAACTGACTAAAAAAAATTAGTTCAGAATTGATTAACCGATCAATCAAAAATAATTACAAAATGTTTTTTAATAACGTTTTTTCGTGATCCATAACATTATTGTAAACAAAAACCCCTATGTGCTCAAACACAATCAAGCCTTAACTTTAAGACATAGAAGCCAACTTCTCACTAATACTAGCCAAAGACTTAAGATTACACCCAATAATAATATCAACAAACAAACAAGTATCCTCTTTACTACTGCCCGCCGAAATATCCACCATGAAAGACTCAATCACTACGGTCTTCCTACCTCCGCCGCCACCACCCTCTCTCTCATCTTCATGCAAAGTGGTGGTTGATTGATAATTCACAAGCCTATGATCACCTCCAATAATACTAAACACCATGTTATGTCGATCATCGTCGAGCTCATCGAGCCTCTTGGTGATTGTCTCGGTGGGCAATCCTGACACCACCATCACCTCATGAATGCTCCCGACGCCGTCATCGCCGGAATGCATGGTGCAGCTCTTGATAAATTGCTTGTAGGCTCGTGGGTTGTCGAACCTATAGAGCATAGACCAGACTATAGGGAGTGGTGCGCTGATGGTCTGGACTAGGCATGAGCCACATTGGTTTAGGGGGAGCATGTGGGTGTGGTAAAGACTCATCATCTCGGATAGTTTGTTAGGGTTAGGGTTTTGGGAGGTTTGGGTTGGTTTATATAGCATTTGAGGTCGGTTGTGGGGTTTAGAGTTGTTTTTTTTTTTTTTTTAGAAATGGGGACACACCAAGAGGTACATAAAAGGAGGAGAGTGACTACTAAATTTTGGCAGAGGTTTTGGTTTGGGAGTTTATGACAATTTTGGCATTTTTTGATTGTGTCGTTTTTGGGTTTAAATTTGTTTGTTTAATAATTATGTTATGAACGGAGAAGATTTTTACAAAATAAGCATAAATGTGATAAATTGTGAGTTTTATATGTGTGATCTATTAGTATTTAGCAATAGAGTCAGAAAATTTATTTATGAGTGTTAAAATAAGTGTAAAAAATAGAGTTTTAAGGTACAAGGTGTTTAATTTTATAGGATTTGAGAAGAGTTAAATGTGCATAACTTTATTCATGTGTAAAGAGACTGTCTTCATAATTTGAACCTATAACACTTAAAATCAAATCAACACAAATGATGATTACATAATATGTAAAATAATTTGGGATTATTCCCTATGCATAGTAAGACCGCTTTTGAAATAAAGGAGTAATTGAAGTTTTTTTGAAAATTTTGAGGGGCCATTCCATAAATATTGTAAACATACTATTGAAATAGAGGTCAATAAAAGAATTTAAAAAAAACTTAGGAGGATTATTTGATATACATTATGGTTGGGGCAATCCCACATCGCTTGGGGGGATAGATCGACTTTACCTTATAAACGTATTGGCCCTTCAACTTGTTACAACGCGTTTTTTCCTGATGAGGAACAAATCCGTGAGGCCGATGGGGCTTCGCGCCCACCTCGCCAAAGGGGACAATATTGTGGCAAGCACGTAGGCGCTAGGCACATGTATTTGGCACTAGAAGGAGGGCCCGCCTCTTCCTCCACTGTTGTGGGCCCAGTCCGTTGGGGGGTTATGTTGGGGCAATCCCACATCGCCTGGAGAGACAGACCGACTTCACCTTATAAGCGTACTGGCCCCTCAACCTATTACAACGCGTTTTTTCCCGAAGAAGAACAAAGTTGTAAGGCCGACGGGGCTCTGCGCCCACATCGCCATAGTGGAAAATATTGTGGCAGGCACGTAGGCGCCAGACAATATTGTGATAGACAATGAATGGCTTGCTGTGAGTTTCATAATGAAGCTCAAAAACTTTACACCAATCGTAGATCCACCCTTTCAGTCCTAACCTTCAATTCAACACAAGCTATGAAGGAGGGGTATGATCAACTGAAGAGGTGAATCTATGATTGGTGTGACTCAGTAACAGAATGGAGAAAAGAAAAGAATCTTGAACATGAGAGATGTACTTGGCTATGTTGTTACAGAATTCCTTTTAATTTATGGAACGCTAAGGGTGTGTTTGGTAACGTTTACGTTTTCAGTTTATATTTATAAAAATTTTATAAACTGATTTTTGTTTATTTTTTGAAAAACATAAACTACAAACGCGTTTTGTAATTGACAAAATGTTTAAAAAAATTTAAAAATATAAAAAAGAATGAGAAATGGCAAGTGGTGGCAAGTGACGGCGGAAGACGATAGTGGAAAGTGGTGACGGTAGGTGGTGGGTAGCTGGTGGTGGTAGGTGGTGGCGAGTGGGTGGTGGTGGTAGGTGGGTGGGTAACGGTGGCGGGCGGTAGGTGGTAGCGAGTAGGTGGTGGTGGTGGTGGCAGGTGGGTGGCGGATGGCGGGTAGGTAGCGGGTGGTGGTGGTGATGGGTGGGTGGGTGGTAGCGAGTGAGTGGTGGTGGCAGGTGGGTGGCGGATGGCGGGTGGTGGTGAGTGGTGGCGGGTGGGTGGTGATGGTGGGTGGGGCGGGTGGTGGTGGCAGGTGGGTGGTGGGTGGCAGGTAGGTGGTAGGTGGTGGCGGGTAGGTGGCGGGTGGTGGTGGTGGTGGCGCAGGCAGGTGAGTGGTAGGTAGCTGGTGGTGGTGAGGTGGCAGGAGGTGGAATGGTGGTTGGCAGTAGATGGCGGGCTTGTGGTGGCGCGTGATGACGGGTACGATGGCAGTGGTGAGGCGTGTTGATGCGAGTGGGGTGGCAGCGTGGTGTGGCTGGTGGCTGGTGTAGCGGGTGTGGGTGGTGGTGGCAGGTGGCCTGCGTGAGTGGCTGGCTGGAGGTGGTAGTCCGGTGGTGAGGTGGGGTGGGTGGTGGTGGCGGAAGACGGTGGTGGAAAATGGTGGCGGGTGGTGGCTAGTGTTGGGCGGTAAAAAAAAAAAAAACTGAAAACTCAAAATGGAAACACATTTTTTGTGTTTTCATTTTTTAGCCAAATTTATAAACTGAGACCACTGATTTATAAATCAAAAATTTTACCAAACAAGTTTTTATTTGAGTTTTTTAAAGTTTTGTAAATATAAACAGAAAACTGAAAACGTAAGTGTTATCAAACGACACCTAACACATTCAAAAGCATTGGTAGTTTATGGGGTGAGGTAATCCAATTTGATGAAGTTATCAATACAAATTCTATTGAATATGGCAAGGTCAGATTGATAACGAATAGCATGAAGCCTATAAATACGGTGATAGGTCTAGAGTACAAAAGAAACACATACCCTGTTAAGATATGTGAATCCTTTGATTTTCATGAAGATGTAGCACTCAATTATAGTGCAAGGGAAGATCAAATCTCTGTTAATAGGGGAATCAATGCGGGGGGCCTATATTAGGTATGAGCAGTCTGGATAATGTTGAAAAAAGAGTTTGGAGGCAAAAAATGGTGTTTTCTTCAAATTCAAACAAATTAAATAAGTCATCAACAACTAGCAATCAGTATTTGAAGAGAAATGGATTTTATAGAGGATCTAAGCTAAATTGGTGCAAATGAAACCTCTTAAATTAAGGACTATGTTTGGCCCACAACAAAAATATGTGCGTATTCATTCATTATTTTGGAAGCCTGAATCCACTGCTGTAGATCAAAGAGTTCCCGTTGAAAAAAAAATAAGACTATGCTAGTATCCCATGGACCAAGTACACTTATCTTTCTTGGGCCTAAGGGAGTAGTGGAGGGGTTTGGCATTGTTGATAAGTCTTCTATTCTAGTAGAAAATGCCAATTTGGTCGAGAAAGAGGAATCATCTAGGAGGCATAAGGGTGGAGGTGTTCATAGGGTCTCAAACCCCAACAATACTAGTCAAAGAAATAAAGAAAGGAAAAAAAAGCTATTGAAAGCATCAATGGTATTTCCAAAATTCAAGAGGTGGGGTATTGGTTTGAAGTGATTGTTTGATATGGGGATTTGAATTTGAAAGAGGGGTTTGGTATGAGGTGTAGATGGACTATTATGATTGGTGTTTTGGGTGGTGGGGGTGGTTTTATTTCCTTTGTTTTCTTGTTTGTTCGGTTGGTTTCTCTCCAGTCATGGTGCAGTGTTAGTAAATGATTAGCTTGCATTCCAGTCCCGACTAGTTAGAATCGTCTAGTTTGCTTTGATGCTTAGGCACTCGCCTCCCTTTATTGATGTTCATCTCTGTATTTTGTACATCTGATTTTCATCAATAAAGTTTATTTTGCTGATAAAAAAAAATGATAATCATTAATTTGTGTTGTTATGTAGAACTATCATATACATTGGATGATGCTCTAAATTTGAATTCTTGCATTTATTGCATTCTGCTCCTTGTTCAGTTTGATAAACTTTCTTATTGCATACTTTGCAAGCAATATACCAAGGTTGGTTCAGATTGTCTATACGAATGATTGTCGCTTTGAAGGAACAATGTGTATTCTATATGGATATTTTTATTCACGTGTATTAATATTAATATTAATTTGGTGAAGTAAAGAAAACTCATGATATTTGAAAATTTTAATTATTATTAAGATGATAAATTATGTACCTGAAAATCAAGTAAACATTCTGTCAAATCTTCTAACTGCACTCATTCGGGACTTTGCCAATTTGCTGCCCATAATGTTGTACCTGGCTTGTTTTTGACCCTTTTTTTTATTGCAACTGCTCATATAATACCTGTTAAATTTCTTATTGTATAAAAACTGTAAATATAAAAATAGAAACAATATATTTTTTAATGTACCATTCCCTAATACTATTACCTTTAAGTGTTGTTGGGTTTATTTGAATTGTAATTGTTGAAATTGTGGATATAGATATTACATCTGATCCAAAAGCAAATTGTGAGTATATATATTAAACAATGTAAAATTGTAAATCTATATAATTAGTAATTTATTTAATTTCATCAACAAGCAATAATAATAATAATTTAATATAGGGTAAATTACAAACACCCCCCTAAGGTTTACTTAACCCCTTGTGGTTTTAGAAATTACATTATGCCCCCTAAAGTTTCTAATTTCATAACAAATGGGTACTTTTATTAATAAATCATTAAGTTAATTAACGGTATTTAATAATGTTAAAATTTTATTTCAATTAATAATTCAGATAATTTTATTATTGTATAGGTGAACAGTTAGAAATTTCACTTTTTTCAATTAATTCTGTTAAATAAAAAATTCTGACAATGAGGTATTTGTAATTTTTCAAACCACAAGGGGCAATTCGTATTTTAAGCAAATCTCAGGGGGTGTATTTGTAATTTACCTTTTAATATATAATATTGTTTTAAGTGTTTAAATGTATCTGCATATGTTGACATATTTACTTAGATATTGCAACTACTGGTCTTTCTTGTCATATTTTCTAATTTTTCTCTTTCATTTTTGGTTACATCCCTTATAATGTGAAAATAATAGATTGAGAGCTGTGACAATGGAAAATATAAAATTTCAATGCTTTCAATATTTTTTTAATTTTTATGTTGTAACTTAAGAGTTATTATAATTCATACATTGAATCTTTCAAATAGATATTTCTCTTCATTAATTTACCAATTACTCATGTTCTCGTAATCGATGAAAGAGGCTCAACATTGTGTACTAAGCCAAATATATCTTACATAATAGTAAAAAAATAAATAAATTAA